TTTTGTTGCAGTTTGACCAGAGCTGGGTTTGAACCTGTCACCCTTGGTATATGGGGCCAGCGCCCTACTCACTGAGCCACAAGCACCACACTGGTAATGGGTTCTTAGATATAAAACCAAAAGGACAGGCAGCAAAGGAAAAAATAATTTTGACTTCATCAAAATTAAAGACTTGTATAGTAAGTATCAAGAAAGGGAAAAGAAAAACAGAATGGGACATATATTTACAAATCATATATTTAATAAGGGTTTAGTATCCAGAATATATGAGAATGATTTCAACTCAACAACAACAAAATCCAATTTAAAAATGGGCAAAGGGGCGGCACCTATGGTTCAAAGGAGTCGGGTGCTGGCCCCATATGCTGGAGGTGGTGGGTTCAAACCCAGCCCTGGACAAAAACCAAAAACAAAAACAAAAAAAAAACTGTAAAAATGGGCAAAAGTGGCACTGGAGACCATTATTCCAAGAGAAGCATAGAAAAACAAACACCACATGTACACAATACACATTGATCAACACTTATATGCACATAAGGAAGTAACACTCAACAGAAATCAAGTAGATGGGAAGGGGGCTGAGGGGTTGGGTAAATTCACACCTAACAGGTACAATGCACACATTCTGGATGAAGGGCACACTTAAACTTTGACTTAAATGTATGAAAGCAAATTATATAACCAAAATGTGTACACCCTTGTAATATTCTGAAATTTAAAAAAATTTTTAAAATGGGCAAAGGATGTGAATAGGTATTTCTCTAAGAAATGTATACAAGTGGCCAAAAGCACATGAAAAATGTTTAACATCATCTGTCATTAGAGAAATGCAAATAAAAACTACCACTTCACACCCACGAGGAAGGCCACAGTAAAAAAAATTGGAAAGTAAGAAGTGTTGACAAGAACAGGGAGAAATTATCACCCTCATTGTTGATAGGAATGTAAAATGGTGCAGTTACTGTAGAACAACGTTTGGCAATTCCTCAAAAAGTTAAACATAAAATTACAGTATGATTCAGCAATTGTACCCCTAAATATATACCTACATATAGAAAGAAGTCTTCCAACATACATTTATATACTTAATTTTTTTTTTTTTTTGAGACGGAGCCTCAAGCTATCCCCCTGGGTAGAGTGCTATGGCCTCACAGCTCACAGCAACCTCCAACTCCTGGGCTCAAG